ATGAGCTGGTTCCATCTCCATACATAACAGTGATAAAAAGTCTAAGTATGTACTGGTATTAATTTTTGCAATGTNTTATCTAAGTAGTCTATACAGTGTACCTGTATCTTGTATTATTACTAGCATGGTGAAACAAGCTATTATTGCATTCTTTATTATAAATCCCCCCTTTTATTTTTATAGTTGTCAGTAATGAAAAAATTATAGTACAAAATATACCACTATCAAATAATCAGCAGTACCAGAGTACGTATTATCAGCAACTGCAACTAGGAAGAACCCATTGGCTGGAGCACCAGAAACAAAAAGAGGAATTAGTGCAAGTATTACCCAGCTCAGCACAAGAATGGCAAGGGCACCAACTTACAGAATATAAAACATTGCTAAAAGAACAAGAGCTAGAGACACAAACTATTAAGCAACAATTAAGGAAAGAGCAAGATCATAGGCAGCAGTTGTTAATAGAATTGGAAAAGAAGGAGGCAGAACGTAGTTTTCAACTACAAGAAAAAGAGCAAATGTATCATCATCAATTGCAAGAAAATAAAGCTCAGAAGGAGCGAGAAATACAAAGAATCTGTTTTCAATTACAGGAAAAGCTAGAGAGAGAGAAGGCAGCAAAAGATCTAGAAATACAAAATTATCATTACCAGTTATTGGAAAAAGAAAAAATGGAGGCACTAAAAATTCAAGAATATCTTCAACAGCTACAACAAAAGGAGGCAGAAATACGTAATTATTTTAATCAGCTACAAGAAAGAAATCAAGAAATACAAGAGTACTGCCATCAGTTGGAACAAGTGCAAGTAAGCGAGGCTGAGAAAGATCTGGAAATTCAAAGATGCTATCAAGAAATTCAAAAGTACCAGTATCAGTTACAAGAGAAGGAGAAGGCCGATGCAATTTCTAAGCAAAAAATGCAACAACTATACCATCAGCAATTACAAGAAAAAGAGCAAGAGAGCTTAGAGAAAGAGAAAGAAAAACAAAAATATCACCAAAAATTGCAAGAAACTGAGAAAGATAAGACCGAGACAAAACAAAGGCATTCTCTACAGTTGTCAAAAAAAGAAACAGAAATTGAAAAATACCGAAAACATTTAAAGAAAGAACAAGCAGAGAAGGAGCAATGTCACCTTCAACTAAAAGAAAATGAAAAGAAATATATTCAACAGTTACAGGTGAAAGACAAGGAACTTTCAGAGAACCAAAAGTATCATCAACTTCAGCTACAAGAAAATGAGGCAAAAATGAAGCAAAAAATACAAAATTACGATCACGAGTTAAAAAAGATGAAGAAGGAGTTGGAAGATAAAGAAAAAGAGATACAAATGCTTAATCAGCTGATACATAAGGAGCAAATAGAAAAAGATAAACAAATTCAACAATTACTGCAGCAAATTCAACAATATAAACATAAAATACAAGGGAACGATAAATGTATGATTGAAAAGGAGAGAGCTGAAGAGAAAGTTCATGGAATCCAATTACTTCATTCCTCACAAAGTATGTACTTAATTTTTTTTATTATTGATAATTTTAATTTCCTTTTTGTAGTGATATTTGACAAGCAGGAGGAGCAAGTACCTATGATGCCATCAAAACAGAAGGTAGAGCAATGCAATGAAAAAACTTCTGAAAGTGTACCCGAGACAGGAGGTATTAGATCAACATAATTTATGCATGTAATTTTTAATTATTGTGTCATTATGTTTGATTTAGATGAACTTAAAGGCGTACACATTGCTGATAAAAAATCATTTCTTATTCAAAGTGGATCTAACCAGTCACTGTCAGTTAACTGGGAGGAATATGGTATAAGGATAACAATACCACAAGAAGCAGTGCTACCCTCTGAAACTGTACAGATAACTATCAATGCTCTAGTAGGAGGAAATTTTGTATTTCCTGAAGATACTGAGCTTATTAGTGCAGTATATGCTATAAGCCTCTCCAAGCCTTTTCTTGAACCAGTTAAACTTGAGGTACAGCATTGTGTCTCCATAACAACACCAGCTCATAGCAACTACCTTAGTTTTTCTACTGCAACTAATAGTCAGCCACCTTTCCAGTTTAATACAGTAGATGGTGGAGAATTTTCTATTGGCAACAGATATGGTAGCATAAGTATTGCTAAGTTTTCTAAGTGGTCTGTTGTCATGAAACGCAGGAGAAGAACACGTATGCATCCATATCACACAGAAAATTCATCACATAAAAAAGAGCATAAATCTCTCTCAGTTTCATCATCATCACAGTCTTCAACTAATGTTGAAGAATTATTTCCTAATATTGAAGAACCACTTGAGAAAATTCCTTTATCTTCAAGCGGAACAATTAATACATCAGAACAAAATCAGTTGATGATACAAATACCAGTTGAGATATTAGAAGGTAAAAATGTATGGAGTCCTTCGTAGTATTATTGTATAAATTGTAGATGAGTCACCTGTTAAGCTTTACTTTGGTCAAGTAATGTATGAGGTTAAAAAAACAGGAAGAGAATGGTTGATGAGATTTCTACTTTGTCAAGATCTAAATGCACTAGTAGAGGTATATAAGCTCTATGTTCTCAGTATACATTTAATTTTTGATTAAAACAGCATATTAAAAAGGTATTCAAGAGTTTTGAAGAAACTATGGAAGTAGCTTTTGAGTTTGAAGATTGCCATGATGGATGCATTGAGTTGCAACTTGATGATAAAAAATGTCCTAAAGGATGGTCAGTGAGACCTCATCAAACACCTTCAAAAGTTAGGACTTAAATTAATAGTGACATGTAAAATGATGTAATTATAATGATTACAATATAGGTAAGCCAGAATCTTATTGATAAATATGGCAGCATGTCTCCTCCTCGATTTCCAAAATGTGTATTCACAATCACAGCCACTCCTGGTGAAGATGCAGTTAAAGAATTAAGTTATCCCATCACAATGCAAGGAATAAAATCTGACACTAAGGAAATAAACATTGTATTAACAATGGGTTAGTATCATTGTGAGTTAGTTAATTAAGTTAGATCTATATTTAGGTGACTTTCAGCAAAAACCTGCTAGAACTATTGCATCACCATCAGGGTCAATTTCACCAGGTATATTTTAATTGTATAGTCACTATAGTAGTATAATAATTCATAACATTATAGTAGCTGAAAGGCAGCTCAAACCAGCTGCAGAGGTTCTACGAGATCACTTGGATACACTTTCTGAAATCCTGGCAGCTCCAAGTAATCTTTTGGCTATCATTACAAGCTTATACAGTAAAAAACTGATTACTGATGAGACTTACACTGAGTCAATGAATGCTGGCAGACCAATACTTGATAGATGTGCTTCACTGCTGTTTGCTCTTAAATGTACAATTACTACAAAGCCTCAGGCAATAATTACTTTAATTGAAATATTAAAAGGAAAAGAAGCTTTTAAAGAAATTGCTGATAAAATGGATTTGGAAGTGTCTTTTCATAATTACACAAACAATTAGTTGTCCTATATTTAACAATTATTTATTTAAAAAAATTTAGAATACTAAAAATAGCAGACAAATCTATGAACAAACAGACACACAAAATGCTTTGAGGCTTGTTCAAGCTCGCCCTAATTAGAATAATATAGTAATAATAATAATTCTGAAGTAAAAAGTACGGAATGTATAATGTCAATTATTAATTATCCTTGTTAGCATCTTTCTTTCTTTTTCTGACAATACAACCAAAGACAAAGGATATCAAACAACAAAAATATGACACCACTTATAATTGTAAGAACTGCAGCAATTGTTGCTATTGTACCACGTGAAGATGGAGTATCACTAAAATTATTGTACTTGTGTAGTACAATAACAATAGTACGTACTAGCTTAGTATACAAAAGAAAAGTAAGTGTAGAAAGAACAGGAACAACATGAGACCCCATCAGTCTTGATATCTTACCATATCTCCTACACAATTGTATAATGATAATGATAATGATCCACAGGTAGAGAGGGAAAGCAAACTGGAGCCATTGTTTAGCATAACTGTCCATACCATTGTAAAAACATATCTCAAACCCAAAGTCTAAGTTAATCCATGATATCACTTGACTCAAAACTGGTAATGCTCCTTTCCTTGAAAAAAATGGCTCATACAACTTGACGATGTTAGCATAGAACAATAGACTATTGAGTGTACCCACTGATACTGTTAAATTGAGAGCAATGAGTAGAACCACAAGTAGTACACCCATCACTGCAAATAGAGCAATCCAAGCTATCATCTTGTAATTATTATGGCACTGTCCACACTTGTTTGATCCTATTAGTAGACTGTATCCCTCTCTACATGATCCACACATTCTCTGTCTTCTATCATCCACACATTGAGTATCAGTGTCATTCAACTTGAAGGTAACAGGATTAGGAGAACAATAGAGGAGACAGTCCTCATTGATAATACATGCATTAGGATTGGTTGCATTAGCATTGAAAGGTGTACT